CGAGTTTAAAAATAAACCTGATGGTTGGGAAACAACAGCGAAGGCACAAGATGGAAATATATGGGAAATGTCACAGAGGGAGGAAGATATTCTCCTCCAAGAATTTGATCGTAGAATAGCATACAGCAAATTCCAGGCAAGTTGATGTCTTCGAAATCACTTTAAATTATATCTTCTTTTGTTGAGTTAGTCTTAGGTATAAATCTCCATTCCAGCCTAGCCATCATCTCTTTCCAGCTTAGCTAACATTTTTTTTCTGCAACTACTTGCAGATAGCTAGTTTTATCAAGACTCACATATTTAGCCGGAGGAGGCCTATTGATGGTTGGAAATACATGATAGAAGAACTAGGACCAAATGCCAAGAAAGGGAAGGGTAGTGCTACAAGAGTGCCGAGCCTATCTGATCCATCAACACAACCATACAAAGAGGACACGAAACTAATTACTCACAAAGGGAGGTAGTTCAGTTCCCGACTCCGCCGAACTTGTTTGTTCCCAGCCATTGATGTTTCCCTGGGGAATAAGCACAAGTCAAACAGTGTTTCCCTTATTTTTTTAAAGAGTTTTCTCTCGAACTCCAGAGTTGTGCTTTATCAGTTTAGGGAGCATGCCTGCTTCTGAGATTCACATGTTCATCCATGAATGATTTGTTTTTGCAACTTTTGAGCACTCGTCTGTTTTTTTTAATTTAAAGTTTTCTTCACTCTGACCAGATCTTTACATTTACCTAGATTAGCTGTCCAGGCTTTGAAGTGGTGTTACAAGTAACTCCAAGAGAGTGGAAATCATTCCAAATCGCTTTTCCCAATGTCTTCACCTCCAATTACAAACGGCGTTTTCGCAATGTTTTTGATGTGTCTTATCAGCAGTTGCCTGAATACCCCGCCTGGAACGCCCACGAATTACTATTTTTCAAACTATAAATGTTATTGTTTCTTTTAAGAAACATATAAATTGCTCAGTCACTTGTTACAACAACAATAACAACAATAATTTATCAATATATACAAAGGAAGATCGAACGAGATCACAAACTGTATCCATTAGCGCATAGACTTGCTGCAAATGGAGGTGGTGTTATCCAATCCAATCTTCAAAAATCTTGGAGCTATATCTTCTGCGTACATCATACAATATTAAACCGTTTGTCGCAAAAGCAACAAAGAAGAGTTTATTGGCACCAATAAAGGAAAATATAAATAAAGAAAGAAGACTTCCTCCAATGTTGTATCTGAAAAATTGATTCTGTAACTTCGTTGTCGATATCTATAACATAATCTGCATTGAGGAAAAAACACTAATTAATTATGAACCTCCATTGATTCCAGAATGAGAACACAAGACGCAAGGGGTGTTGGACTGCAATATGTCTCCAATGAATTCAGATAAAACTGAGCCATCTGGCAAGTGTAGTATGACCCAAGCTACCAATAGCATCGGCATTGCTTTAAGAGTTGAAAGTTGTACGAGCAGGAACACGAAACGTTCATAGAGGATTTGCAGTAGCATTAAGAGGACAGATTCCAAGCAGAAACTGGAGAGGAAGTATCCTGCAAGGAAAAGGATAAGGAAAGTCCAGAAACAAGGTCAGTTCTAATGTGAGGCCGAAACAGTACTGAAGGCAGCAACTCAAACCGGGCAGACTTGTTCCTGATTCTGATTTGTTACAATTATCTTTTATTATAGATTATGGTTTATTATATTTATTAGTTCTAAAAATATTGTTAAACTCAACTGAAGGCTATAGATAGCCAAGATATATTGAAGTTCTAACAAGTAAGAAATAAAAAATATCAAACACCTTACAAAACGATCGAGAACTTGAAGATATTTTTTATTCTGATTTGTTGAAACTTCAATACATCTTGGCTATTTATAGCATGTCAGTAGAGCTTAACAATACAAATTAGCGAATGGTATTAATTGTAAAGATGTATACTTTGATGGTGTCAGGATCTAGCCTGGCAAATTGTGCATTGTGCAGTTGATCAATAGCAGATTATCCCTTTCGTCGTCCCATGTTGATAGATTAACCGCAACATCAACATGATCAAAGTTAGGGGAGGTTAAGCCTAGAGGAATCCATAGCCACAGGGTAGGAGTTTTTATAGCTGAAAGAGGCAAGCTCTGGCGTGAAAGTCTCAACCTTGCAAGTGGAACCAAGAAAAACTGAAATCTCCAGGTTAACCAATCGAAGTACAGATATTTTCAAAATCTTTAAAGACTTAAAATTAATTTCATGGAAGATTAGATTCTTCAAACTGGGAAAGCTAGCAAAAGGTTCACCGAAATCGCTTGGATAGCCAAAGAAACAGTCGCAGATAGTCAATTAAGGGAGGGAAGTTGGAGCCTAGAGAAATCCATTACTTGAGAGAGTAGGTAGCTGAAAGACGTGAGCTTTGATGAAAAAATCTTAATCCTATTCAGTAATCAGATCGATGCATGTATCGAAGCCCAGAATTTCTAAGTTGAGCAATTGAAGTGCAGATATTTCCATAACTTTTGGAGGCAAAAAATTGCAAAATCGTAGGCTTAGATTCTTCAAACTAAGACAACTAGCAAAAGGATCACCGATATTCCTTTGATAACCAAAGGAACAATTTCGAGTCTCAACCTGATAAGATTTGTGAAAGCAAAATGAAAAGCTTGAAAGTTGATTCCAGATAATTTGGATACAGTTTTCAAGTTAAAAATGCCTCCGGTGAAGAGAAAGATCGGACAGAAGGTGGTGCATTATCATAATTTATGACCATGAGCTTGCTGAACATGATGGGAAACAGGATATTTTATGATCATATATCCTAAAAAGAATGATGGGAGCTCTTAATTACTGTTCTAGATAGTAGAAACAAATCATGGGATCTTCTTTTCCTGCCTTGGTGGCTAAAACCGAATTTGTCATGATAACATTGATACATTAAAGGATACATTCTCAATCTTCCAGGAGTAGTGGACTAAAAAGAAGTTGACTAGATGTGCCATTTTAAGCAGTATGTTGCAGACAACAGAGAAAGAGCTAGCGTACGAGCTAGGAAAAATGACTAGATAAACTAAGAAATGCAGTGGCAATGATGCCATGAAGGTCAGGAGAGTTAAGGGCAATGTAACAATAGACTAACTCTTCCATTTCATCCCAATCATGAACACCCACGTTCTGAATAATCTCTAATATTGATGCTCTCATGTCTGAGAATGGATCCTTAGAGAGCTTAACTGCACAGACAGTATCACCTGAGAAAGCACCACAAACATCTTCAGGTAAACTAGCTGAAAGGCTAATCCTGCAAGTACTCTTCTTCCTTATTGCCTTCCTTCTGTAGTCTTCTCCAGCATCCATGGCTCCTACACTCAGGAATAATGACTAAAGTAAGTACCATTCAGGACCATAACCATGACCTGATACTCTGTATATATAGGGGTCATGTGATAGCTGGAGCGTGTAACGAATTTGATGAGTGCACGAATGATGAACAATGGGTTTCCTTCTTCATTTGGTGGCTGGAGGAGCTCCGCTCCAAACCATTAATACCCGAAGAACATTAATGTAGAAGCAGCCCGTATGATCAATGCAGTCTTGCATATTCTGTGACATGCTAGGCGGGTGCCTGCCATGTGAGAATCCATGTGAATGGCAGTTAGAGCACTATCGAGTTGATTCTCTTGGTCCATACTACATATTTCTTTTTTACATGAAAGCAAAAACCTAAAATCATGCACAACCAATTTCAATACTTAATTAATTCGGAAGGAAGGTAATTTCAATCCCATAGGCTTTGCTGTTCTTGGTGTAGTAGCTAGTCTTGTCACTCTCAATTAGCAATGAAAATACTTTTCAATGCTTTCATATGAAAAAGAACATTGGGGATATTTCTTCATAGATTTCTTAACTTCGCTATACAATTAATGGGACCTAAACCTCTGTGGAAAAAATATTGTAGATATGCCTCAGTACAATTAGATTTTATCCTTGACTGAATTAAAAATAAGATGGAATAGCCTTGAGAGGTAAAATGATTTTTTTACGAGGTTAATTTGTTGGTCTCTAATTATTTATTTAGAGGTAATACTGTCTATTTTATTTTTAATAATATCAAAATTACTATATTAACCTTAAAAAATTAAAAACTAGAACATTTTTTCTAGGAGCTGAATTTCATTTCCCTAATGACTTTATTCCCTTACCTTCCAGTTTTTTAGCCTTCACTTAAGGAGCTTGATTATAATTTTATAATGTTAATATTTGTTAGTACTATGTTGATTTTAGTTTTTGTATAAATAAAATAAAATAAAATAAAAAAGGTTATTGGTATGTGCTTGACAGACATTAGCTACTCTTCTATTTTCAAATAGCACATGCATCTAACTTCAATGGTTGCAGGCATACTCCCGCTATATCATTTTATTCTTCTCGGCTTGGGTAGGTTATTTATTTGCTTTTCTTCCCCCTCCTTTTTTTCTCTCATTTACCTTGATTTGTGTGTTGTTCCATGAAAAAAATCATACCAGTTTTTTAATTTCTTCCCCCCCATCAGATTTAATCCATTTTCTCTTAGTTGCAATTTTTAAATTTGAAAAACATTATTTCAATTTCATCCTACTTTAATTTTCTCGTCTCTCAGATTTGGTACTCATTTTTTTAATTATTATTTTTTTATTTTATTTTAGATGATTTATAAAATTTATTTCTTTTTATGATTTTATCCTCCTTCAATTTTTTTTCTATAAGATTTGATCCTTATTCTTTTAATTAATAATTTTATGTTTTGACAACTATTTTAGATTGATTTATTTTTAAATTTTATCCTCCTGAGTTGCGAATTGACTTTCTTGATTAAACCCGGGTATAAGTTTTCATGAAATGCAATTTTTTTATATATTTATATTTCAACATTAAATTGGTTGAAATTTGATATTCTCGATTAAGTCTGAATATAAGATTTTACAAGTTATGATTTTAAAATATTATGTCAAATTATGAAGATTCAGCATAATTTTCTTTATTTTTTATATTATTAAATTAGAGATGCTTTTTTTATACTATTAAATTAACCAAACTTATCTTTTGATTCTTTCATATTACTTGGGAATAATATCATAGTGTTGCCTTAACATTTTTCTTCATGTTCAGAAAAAATTGCCATAGCTTATGTCATTGCGCTGATGCAAGTTTATTAGAGTCAATTTTTTTTAAATTCTATGTTTTCATGTATTCACTTTCAACTTTTCATTATAATTGGTTTTTTAATTTATTTAGACATGAGTTTCATGTTTTTATCATCGTCTCATATTTTATATGACAAGTTTTATATGTTAGTCATGATTGTCTTGAGTCAATTCAATAGATTAATATCTCAATATTTTTTTCCAACATATAATCAATAAAATAAAATATTTTAAGAGTATTTAGATTAGTATGCATTAAACTTTTTGCTTCCTAACATTTTTATAATTTTTTTAATATTAAAGAAATAAAATTCAGCACGCTGTAGATCACAGGTAAAAAAGAAAAAAGAAAAATAGTTGGATGTAATTAAAGTCCAAATTGTTCTTATAAAAAAAACCCTAGTGGTAAGAAGAAGGGTGAGAGACGAGAAGAAACCAGCCATTAATCTTCCACGTGCGGCTCAAAAGCAAACATCAAAGTAAGAC